CAGCCGCGGCTCGGCGTGGGGGGCACACATGCCCCCGTCATGGGTCCCTGGCAGGCTGGGGGGGCTGAGGTCTTGAAGTGTGCTGCCGGGGGGAGTGGGGCTAGGAAGAGGAGGAGGGGGAGTTGTCTGAAATGCCAGGGATTCATCTCCCACTCCTCCTGCCCTCGCCGTTCTGAAAGGAGCTGCTTGAGCTGTCAGTGCTGGATTATATTAATTAGTGGAGAAGTGCTACGCCTGCTTGTGGGGCCATGCTGCCAGGAGGAACCGGAGACTTGGCAGGTCTGTGCGAAGCAGCTGCCGGGCTCCCCGAAACCCCTCGCTCCAGCACAAAATGAGCACACCAAAAACAAGGCTGAGACGGGGAAGCTGAGTCTCCCTGGGGCTTCAGCATCTCCTCCTTGAGCCCAGCCGGCTGCTCACCCCCAGGGCCAAACTCACCTGCCCTGGCACCCGGGGGGTTGTTGTGATAGGGAAAGCAGCACTGTGGTTTCGGGATGGGACTCACCGCTCCACGCTGGGCCCCCATCTCTGTGAGTGAAGCGCGTCAGCCTGTGACACTGCCAGGCCAGCAGGTCCACGTGGTGGGGGGCTGCTGCGACATGGTGCGAGGGCACGTCCCTGACCCACGGTCGCCTGTTGTCTTTCAGGAGAGGAAGCTGTGTGCCCACCCCCGGATCGAGATCTACAAGGAGGACTGCATCTACTTCGTGTGTCCCCTCGCCCGCCAAGGGGACTTCTATGTGCCTGAAATGAAAGAACTGGAGAGGAAGAGCAGGGCTGCCGCAGCTGAGGCTGAGGATGCCCAGACAGACATCACAGGTATCTGTGGCTTGTGCACGGGCTCCGTCTTTGATTGGCATCAGCCCTCCCAAAGGTGAGGGTCCTGGTGTCCCCGGTGCTGCCACCTGAGCAGGCGGAGAGGGGCCTGGCACCCAACTACTGAGTCTCAGCACACCTCTTCCCCGCACCCTGGGCTGAGATAGGATCTCGTTCCTGAGGTGTCATGCCGAGCGTCAGGGAGCACCCAGGCACACCGGTGGTGTCGAGGCGAGGGCCAAGCTGCCACCCAGCCGCTGGCCCGTTATTGTCAGATCAGAGCTGGATCTCACAGCTTTTGGTTGCAGCTGGGCTTGTTTTTCTCCTTGTCATATACATCTTCCTTGATCTCATCTTCATCTGTTACATATTGGGATTGCAGAGCTTAAATACCAGGTTGCTGTAGCTGGTGGTGGAGTTGCCCGATAGCATCTGCTCCGCGAGATCTGTTGGAGCCTGGATGTATTCATACAGGAAGGGATCACAATGGCTGTAGGCGCAGAACAGCAGTGCTATAGTAACCCAAAATGCTAGTTGCTGTCGCCGGCCCACGTGCTCACATGTCTGCAAGATGCGAGAGCCGGCTAGTTGAGCGATCCCAGGCGCCGATGGCGTGGCCAAGCTGGCCACTGATGGGGGCAGCTGCCTCCTCCTGCCCCATGGGTCGCCCACGCTTGTGTAACAGGCATGAAAAAAACATGGCGGTTCTCCTCACCTCCTGGGGAGTTTGGTCATTTGTTTTAACACATCAACACATCTTCAGGTTCGGGTTGCTTTAATTCTTAATCGCGTGCGGCATAAAAGCAAGCCTGGGAATTGCTTTCTGGGAGCACTGTCCATTTAGCGCTGCAACGAAGAGTCTAATTGGAGCGGTTTCCCAGCGCTTTGAGGTCCCGTGTTTTCGTGGTGCTCACTCAGCTCTCTGCCTTTTTGTCTGCCTTGAGTCGAGGCAGCTGCTTTGGGCACTAGCCCAGGTTGCCCAAAGGCATGCGGCAGCCCACTCGCTCCAGCACCTTTCCACAGTTGTGCCTCTTGGTTTCAGATAGGGACGGCAGGACCCGTATGAGCAAAAGCTACTTCAGGTTGGTGGCTTCGGCACCTGTGTGTGCTCCTTTCGGCACTGCTCGGGGGGTGCACGGTCCCACAGCACAGCCGGGGGGATGCTCGGTGCAGCCACTGCCCTGTGCACCGGCTGCCCCGATGCGGGCCCTGACATGCCACTGCAAGCGCACCCGCGGCGGGGGAGTCCCCTGCCCTGCTGGAAGAAGTGTCATCTTCTGAGTCTGCACAAAAGAAGCTTAAAATAATAATAGTTGTGAGAGATTGGCCTCGCATCTGAGACTAAACAGTCTTGGATGTCGCACTGTGATCACTGTTGCTGCTGGGCACGGTGGCAGAACCGAGTCTGGTGGAGCATAACATCCTTGCTCTGGCCGTTGCAGAGGGCCGAGGAGGTGACAAGCCTTCAGGTTGCTTGTACCACTCCTGCCTGAGGGTCTTGGAGTGGCAGAAGCAACCCGTGATCTCCTGCATCCCCGTGACGTTGCAGTGCCCCAGACCAGCACAACCGCTCTCGGCTGGGGAGGGTTGGCACCATGTGGAGAGGTCCTGGACTTGTGCGAAGGGAAACGGTGCCCGGTGAGCACCCTTGTCCCTCTGCCACTGGCATGCTGGCACCAGGGATTCGGTTTGTTGTCGGTGCTGCCCCAGCCACAGGCATCGACTGGCCGTTGGGCTGCCCCTGGTTCGGCAGCAGGGTCAAAGGCAGGAGGTGAGGTGGAAGGGGGCAGCTGGTCTCGTCGGGCTCCGCAGGTTACCACTGAAGTCCTGTGTGGGTTTTCTGAGCCCCAGTGCGAGAGGAGACCCTGGAGGCACCTTGAAGATGACACCTTGGAGACAATGTCGTGAAGATGACACTATGGATTGAGACTGGCCCTCCCTTCCCAAGTATTTTCTGTGTTGGGATCTGTGCAACCAACCACCTCTGAGCTGGATGAAGAGAAAGCCCCACTCTCTTTTCCCATTTTTTTCACTCTCTTCCCTGGGGAGACGCTCAAGGAGCAACCTCAACTTAGCCACAGACCCTTCAACAGGCATGATGGCTGTAAGATCATCATCACCCAGCAGATCCCGGAGTGTCTGTGACAGCTTTCGAGCTTTCCTCTGCCAGCTGGAGGGTGGGCACAGCAATGTCCCTGTCCGCTTTTCAGTGCGGTCCCCCCTCAATCCTGATTGCATGGATTTGGGTTATTTCTTGATCCGCCTCAGCTCTGGTCCCCTCAGATCCAGATGTGGGGCTCTGACGCCCTGCCGCCTTGCAGGGTGAGTGGGGGGGCTGGGGAGATGCTAAGCCCCTTTTCTTCTCCCTGAGGCATCTGAAGATGCTCTACACGCAGCAGCTTGGGCTCTCGCTCCTGATGTGGCAGCAGATGAAGCCTGCTCTTCCCCACCTCTCACAAAATACATACACATAATAGCATTGAGCGTGCGATTTCAGAGCGAGCATCATACTTAGTAATGCTCTGTGTGGACGCAGCAGCTTTCGGTCACAGCTTATGAAACTCCCTGCCAGCAGCTCTATTATGTTTTCCTCAAAAACTTCAGGAGTTCCCAGCAAAAGGCACTGCCGTTTCTCCTTGCCTGTCGTTGTGGCTGGTGCCAGGCGGTGCCGAGTGACTTGGATGTGTAAGAAAAGCTTGAATTTCTTTTCTTGAGCCTCTTGACCTCGGAGCGCACTCCTCCATTTAGGCTGTCATCTGCTGTCCTTGCTCCTGCGCTCCGCCTGCAAGGTGCTGGGTGCCTGCCTCTCCGAGCGAAGCCAATGGCCGCAAAAGCTGCAGGACGTGGCCCAGGGTCTCTGCTTTCTGCTGCTGCTCTGCATGGCGCATGGTGCTGGCAGCTCCGCTGAGGATGGACACACTCGACACACAAGGCAAGGGCTGCCTCCGCACCATTCCATCCCTTCTTTGCCATCGTCAGGGTCATCAGAAAGATGGGAAGCATTTTTGGAAGGCAGCTGATGGGTCTCCAGGGAGCCGGGGTCAATCACGATTAGTTGTTTTGTACTTAATTATTTTCTGGGGCTTTGGCATCAGCGCGGCGCTCCGTGGGCCCTCGCTCCCGGCTCGCTCTCAGCGGCATGCTCTCCAGCGTGACCCCGCTGCGGCGTGTGGAAGGTGAAAGCAAACAAAGGCAACCTCTCAACACGGGCTTGCTGGCATGAACACGGATGGTTTCTGAGCACGTGGCTTTGCCCAGAGTCTCAGGTGCTCATTTTCCTGGAGCTGAGCCTGTCCATCAGCGTCTGGGTGCAAGCGATGGCATCACCCACTGAGCCCCAGTGCCACGGGGGTGCACCTTCCCTGATGGGCTCTGCCTCATCCCCGCCTGCTTCCATTCTCCCAAGAGCCCTGCCTGTTCTGCCTGCACATCCCGAGAAAGGTCTCAGCAGGCAGCTCCTGCTGGTCTGCCGGCCCCAGCCCCTGATGGCTTCTGTGCGAGCTTCGGCAAGCACGGAGGAGCTGTGCCCCTCCTGGCACAGCGCTGATCTATTATTTAGCGGCAGAGGCGATGAATATTTGATCGAACGAGGCAAAAGAGAGGGCCCGGGTGCACCAAGAGGGGATCAGTGTCATGCTGGGGTGATGCAGGAGGGGAGCCGGTCCTCCTTCCTGGCGGGATTTGGGGATGCTGGTACGCAGGGTGGCACAGGGCTGAGCTGCCTGGGTTTTTTTCCCCGCCAGGCTCGTTAGCAGCGTGCAGTGAGCGGCTCCTGTTGCACCAATCCCCGGCTCATCTCTTGGCGTTGGCTGCTTGGCTTCCTTTCTTCCTAGGTGGCCCTGGCCTTTGGGGGGGCTCCGCAGCACCCTGGCGGGGCTTCACCCCGGGCTCTGCCTC